TTCATGTGATTTCTCATTGTGGTGGTATCATCATGATGATAACTCAGTTTCACTGATTTATTTGTTCAAAAGTAATTCCATTTTGTAAGATAATTTAGTTAGATCATTTTGATCAAAGTAATTCCAAACTTCGCGAGGAGGCAGACGACATTCTGTGATCAAATACAATCAACTTGTTAACACACTCCACAGCGCCACCCAGTACATTTAGTTTGCGTGCATAGGATTCCCTGCATTTACGACCAGCAAAGCAACACATAGTTAAATTCGATTAGTGTTTTTATTTTTCAAATAATAATTACAGATTGAATATTCACCCCTTGGCCAACATAAGAGATCCGTTTAATTTATCGGTATCAAAAGTGGATATATACTCTGGGGTCAGTAATTTATACTTTCATTCAGCAAGGATGCATTAAATTCATCAAAAGTGGCAGTAGACATTTATAATGTTACAAAAGTCTTCCAGTTCAAATTAATGCTATTCTTCTGAACTTTCTATTCATCAAAGAATCCTAAAAAATGTATCACAGTTCTCAGAAATAAGCACCACAGCAGTTTTCAACATTGATAAGAAATGTTTTCTGAGCAAAAGCATATTAGAATTATTTTTGAAGGATCATGTGAATTTTTTTGACATTTCTAAAAGATTTATATATTCTATAAAAATATATAAATAGATAACAGTTATATTAAATTGAAACAAATAATAATAATAATTCACAATATTACTGTGTTACTGTATTTTCGATCAAATAAGAATTAAAAGCAGTGTATCCCGAACTTGAACATACAGATCAGCAGCACATGGAAACTGATGTCAGTCTAACTTGCTAATACTTAGCAGCTCTTCTCTCTGATTGAAAGTCCACACGGAAATGTTTTATAATCACCGCTGAAAAGAACAGCCGTGGCCAAAACAAATCCATGAACAGACAAGTTGGCATGGAAAACATTATTCTTAACAGATACATAAGGGAAGTGAGTAGGAGACAAGCCGGCCAGCATCCTTATTGAGCTATTTCAGCTCTGGAATGCCACGATGAATGCACTGGTGCCGGTTGCTCTGGAATTTTGGAATCCAGTCCACTGAGGTCATTCTCGGAATGGTCTGCTTACATCATAATCCCGGCCCTGTCTGCTAACAGCTACAATGAACGAACGAACGGCTCACGTTGGGTGGAGGGGAGGTGGCACAGCAGGGAGCACATCCTGAGCTGTCCGCCGCTAACACAATCCCACCATTCACTCCCACCCCTCCCCACCCTCTCTCGGCTTCCTCTACAAGATTAAACACATCTAAGCAGCAACTTCACAAACATTCAACAGCATTCACTTTCATCCACCATGGCAGAACCGTCCCGTACCTTTCCATTTCAATATGAGGGGCATGATGAAAGAAGCTTTGTGGATGTAGGCAAACTTTTTGAACCAGCAGGCCCAAACAGATGCCAAATCTGACAGGGCTACCTACACGCCCGCCAACCCCGAGCTTTGTGTAAACGACTAGAGGAAGTGCATTTATATATTTCCCAAATTTCACTTAGATAACTCCAGGCAACAACAAACCCAAAAAGTGCACAGAGTAGGTTGCCTAATGCAATACAAACCCCCATTTAAAGCACATAAACACTATTTACATAGAACACAAATGGCCCTTGAATAAGCCTGTGGGAGGAACATCAACTATAAAAGAGCAGTTATGTTATTAGTTTCCCCAGACACCTATAAACAGAAAAAAAAGACTTCCTAGTAATAACAAGTCACTGAATGAACACCACCAAAACTAAAGTCCCTGCTCCGCTCATTATTTTAAAACCGTGATTCATTTCCACTCTGTCTGAGGAAGTGATGTTTGACATGATGAGCATGTAGCTACCGTGGTCATTTTAATTATGGATGATATGACATCCATGCTGAGGCCAGCTTTAATGTGAGAGGTCTGACTGCTCTCTGACTGTCAGTAATGACTCATTTCTGTCTCACTGTGAGTTTGCGCTTACACCAGTGGGAATTAGTTAAAGACAAATACCAAAAAATTGAAAATTATGTCATAGGGTGTTGGACAGCACATGAACGGAGAAAACGTGAATTCTTTACACATTACAACACGTCATCTGGATTTGAACTTTTTCCCAGTGCAGGCCTGGAAAATAAGATTAAACTGCTCTGCATTTCAAAACAAAGGGATAGTTCACCCAAAATGAGAACTGTGTCATAATTTACTCATCCTCATGTCGTTCCAAAACCAAATGACTTTATTTGTTCCGTGGAACACAAAAGGAGTTATTCGGAAGACAGTGATGGTCGCTGATTCCCAAATGCTATAAAAGTTTCATAAAGGTTGTCCATATGACTATATTCCAAGCCTTGTGAAATCATAAAATAGCTTGACTATTCATTGATTGTACATTATTCATTGTATCCAGTGACTTCACTCATTGAATCAGTCCGATTCAACATCTAGACTTGTTTTGTGAACTTGATTATCATTTTAAGATTGTATCAAAGGAATGATGCTCGAACAAATCAGGAATCTTATGAACATGTCAAAGAGAGCTATGGAGCATGTCAAGATTATCCATCATATGATATGATTTCAGAAAACTTGAATTGACTTGTCCACAAGTCATATGTACCAATTTTCTTATAAATTAATATTGCTCCTTTTAGAAGCTTGAACCTTTAGTTCCCATTCATTTTAAGTGCATGGAAAAGAAGATTTTGTCAAATTTCTTCATTTTTCCTCGTGCTCCACAGAAGAAAGAAAACAATATGGGTTTGGAATGACATAAGGGTGAGAGTAAATTATGACACTTTTTATTTTTAGGGGAACTTGACCTTTCATTTGTTGGTTGATCTATATTACAATTTTTAGAAATTGATTTTAGTTGGTTCAGCTCAGAATTAGTGGGGGCGGAAAATGAAAGTCAGTGACAGTGGGTTGACAGAACTGGATGTCCTGTATTTCATGTGAAGTCCCTGATTTCGACTTACATCCTTAAATAAGAAGACAACAGGCTGCCATGACAACAGCCCCTGGCAACATGTCTATACTCTATAGGGTGCACACAGCCTTAAAGAAGCCTTATTAAACAACAGATCTGGAAACACAATCAGTTACCATGGCTCACTACTATTCAGTCTTGTAATTCAGAATTAAAATGTTGCATGTGCATTAACAAACTAACAACCCCTATTAAAACTCCAATTGAAACCATGACAAGAACACATTTTCATGTGTCAACAAAATAAAACCTTTGTCTATTCCCTATTGCACCCCGTCTCCAATTACAACTACTCTAGGAGACATAATCATCCACAACCAGATCAACATTCAAACCTATTATGTGTAACCAGGATTTTCCACACAGTCCTTCCCTTAACCACAAATCGTAATACGCACACATTGGAATCTATCATATATTCATTCCATTGTTTCTTTACAAATTACACTACAGTTAAAACAATCACACTAAAGGCACAAAATTTATTGTACCATCACACACAAACTATATAATGTATAAGGATATAAGTTAACCTAGTGTCTTTTCAAGTTGAAAACTGATAGATTAAGTCACAAACAGTAAGGAAAAAGGACCATTAAGCCAGCATGTTTCTATTAGAGCTGTGTTACTATGGCAAGCCACTTTAATATTAGTCCATACAACAAACTATAGCAGCTATTTTAAAGTTACTCGTACAATACTATATAATGTATAAGGATATAAGATTTAACCTAGTGTCTTTTCAAGTTGAAAACTGATAGATTAAGTCACAAACAGTAAGGAAAAAGGACCATTAAGCCAGCATGTTTCTATTAGAGCTGTGTTACTATGGCAAGCAACTTTAATATTAGTCCATACAACAAACTATAGCAGCTATTTTAAAGTTACTCATACAAATTTTTAATTACTAGTAAATAAGCCAACAATGGCTAGTATCTGTTCAGCTAGTAACTATTCAATAGATCTGTGGTTTATATATCAACTATTAAACTCCAGGTAGTATATGTTGCTAATTGTTACTCAAAAACTATAATATATACTAGTCATGATTTGAATAGCTACAAGAAACTAAGGAATAAGTACTAAAATAGTTTCTATATAAACTGGAATAGGATACTAGCAACAATTAGTATAAATTTGAGTTGCGTTGAAAAATACTTTCAAGTAATAATTTTCAAGTGCTATTGATTAACTTAAATACTAGTCACTACTGGAACAAGTACTAGCACATAATGAACACTTACCTTAGTGAAAACACTTTTGTTATAAGGAACAGGCGAATCGCAAGACCCTTTTTACTGGGGCACAAGAAACAGTGAATGACCTCTGTGCCCTACCAAAAAAAAAATATAAATCTATATATTAACTTGAGAATAATTTTTCCTGATAATATATCAGCATGTTGTTTTCTACCAGCACTTTAGAATCAGAACTAGCAATGCCAGAATCACAAATTTATCACTGTTTTGATATAATATTATAAAAAAAAATTTAATAAAACAAATGGAGTGCTGACTGATGTGGATATTTACCTACAATCCACTCTAAGAAACAAAACTTGCAGATGTCTTCTAAGGTTTGTCACTGATGAAGCAACTTATTGTGTGTGTAGTTTGACTCTGTGCTGCAGGTAAAGACTATTTAAATAAATATATTCATAACAGGATTTTAATAAAAATTACTACCAAAATGCTGGCTCTTAATGCAGGGCCTGTGCCCCAGTACTGAAAGGCTAGAAATTACCCAATAAGAAGCAGGGTAAATGTGAAACCGGCTTGCCATAAACAGTCCTGTCTGACAACGCTTCGGTAAACATAAGACTCAGAATTCCCTTCGGTATTATAGGGTGATAGAAAATAAAACCCCAAATAATTTGGTTATTTAATGTATTTACGCTCAGAATTATATTTAAAGCACCTCTCTGTGAGTTAAATCATCGAGGTGTTAAGGTGAACAGATCTGAAGCCAGCGCGGCCACTGAATATCACCTACCGTAGACCCGCACCCATCCCTGCTGCTGGCAAAACGAGTCCATCAAAATCCCATCGACCACTGGGTCTAAAGAAATCATGCCTCCCTGAACCGAGCCCACGTCGCCACCGGTTACTGAATCCGTCTCCATGCTCGATACACCTCCACGGTAACGTCCAGGTAAAGGACTCCAGTCCGGTGGATTTTAACGCGCGTGGCAGGAGAATCTCAAGTCACAATGTTTCCGTTCGTTTGTGTGTGTTGGTTTAGTATTCAACTATACAGCTAAAAATAGTTTAAATAAACCCGAATAAACTAGCGACAGTAGTAGTACGACAATGTTCAAACTGAACGTTTGGAGTTTCCCATATTTTTCTTTGTTTCACAGTTGGAATATAAATTATGTACGCGCGATTCTAGTCTATGTTTACATTACTGAGCACTGTAGCTACGTGGTCGGCAAAAAAATAAGAAAATACGGATTAAAAAAAAAAGAAGCTTTGATAGTGTATTTAAACACTTATAAAACCCTAAAAAATACGAAAGTGCAAAGTTTCAGATCACCCTTTTCTTAAGACAGAATCAGCAGCCAAAAGTTAAAACAGAACAAGCAGTCTTGAAATTATATTGGATGGACTGCTGTTTCTTGTGCGTGTCCATGAGTCAGGTCGTGGAAACAGCAGTAATGATTGAATGAATCCAGCGACGGCAGGAGTTTACTGCATTGTCCTTGCGGCAAAAATCATCAAAATAACAGCAAGTATCAGTTTATTGTTCTGTCGTCCACTTTAAGTGTGAGTCGTTGTTTGGGACTCCCTCCCTTCCTCCCGGTCCTGTGGTGAGGACAGACAGCCTTTTTCACACTTCAAAATCCAGACAGCTTTTCCACCTCAATCACATGCCATTGCCAGCCTGTGCGCTGGGATTCAGGGGAAACTAGAGGATGACCGAGTGACTCGATCAACACGCATTTATGTTTTAAACCGCTTCAGACAGGTTTTATTACTTTTTACACATCAACTAAAATTAAGTAAAAGTTTTTTTTTTATTTTTTTTTAGAAATGTATAATATATTTGTTGAATGTGAAATGAGGAAGAATTGAGACTTTGACAGCATCGATCGATATTGTAAGACAGCTGTGAACTGATTATCGAGTCTCTGAGACATCTGCTGGTTAACCTCGTGCAGAAATGTCATAAAAATATATTTCATTTGATTTGACATTAATAGGGGTTGCATTTAGTTCTTGAATAACACGTTTTGTAGACACAAGACCGCCTGAAAATTATATGTAATATTCAATTTGGGAGATATTGAAATCATGCTGACCATGAAAGGCGGCCTATGTCTCCATCTAGTGTTCATTAAGCGCACAGGTAGGCGTGGTTGACTCTTATCTTTTATAAAGAATATCTCTTTGAATGTGAGACTTTAGTCTTTGTAACTTTACAGATCTTCTTTATGCACCAAGAGCTTGTAACACTTCAAAGAGAAAGGAAAAATTGAAACCGCATCATATGACCCCTTTAATTTGTCACTGTAATTTGTCATTTTTTTATCAGTAAATAATAAAAAAAAATGTACAATACATGTTGTAAATTAAACAGATTAAACAGCGATTAAAAGTTTTCAATTTATTTATTTATTTTTATTTTCCAAATAAAATTGTGTTGCAATTCTGTGTCAGGAATCATAAAATGTTCATCTTAGGGTCTCTAATTATAAATCTTTGAAAAGTCTAAATGCAGAACATGTATTGAGTAAATGTAACCAATTTTTCTAAATATATTTATTGTAATTTGAACGGCATAATGCCTCTGTGCAATATAGTTCTGAGGCTTTCTTGTCTTTGTTGTGGCTTCAGCTGTGAATGAAAAAGAAACAAAAAACTTTGTTTAGGTAATAAAAAAATAAAACACACAAATATCAAACTTTTTTTTTTTTTGGCAGAAATGTGCTGGGTTAAAGGTATAGTTCACCCAGAAATGAAAATTACCCCATGATTTACTCAGCCTCGAGCCATCCGAGGTGTATGTGACTTTATTCTTTCAGACGAATACAATCAGAGTTATATATATATATATATTTTTTAAATGTCTTGGCTAGAGCTAGAGATTACGGTTTATAAAGTTTTAAATATGGATATTTTTCTTACACAGACGCATCGATTCGCTTCAGAAGGCCTTTATTATCCCCCTGGAACCATCCTTTTTATGATGGATGGTTGCACTTTATTTTGCTTAAAAATCTTGACCCCTATTCATATGATAAAGCTTGGAAGAGCCAGGACATTTTTTTTAATATAACTCCGATTGCATTCGTCTGATAGAAGAAAGTCACATACACCTAGGACGGCTTAAGGGTGAGTAAATCATGGGGTGATTTTCATTTTTGGGAGAACTATTCCTTGAAATTAAAAACTGTACATTATTTATGCACTGTTTGATACTGAATGAAGTAAAATACCAAGATGTTAGCTTATATGCAAATAGAAAAAATCAGATACAGCAGTTCTCACATTGAGTGTTAAGCTTGAGCAGAACAGGTGCCAGTATGTCTTCGAGGTGCTTCTTCTGTTCCATGAAGTCTTGAATTGTTGCATATTTGGTGTTGTGTATTCAGTCAGATTTTGCTGAACAGGTGTTTATACACACGGTCTAGCAACACACAAACAATGATTAGGGAAATGTGTACTTTTGGGTTTGCTAAAAATGTTAGGCTATCTGAAACTATTTCACTAAGGATATTATGAATAATTAATTACCTTGTCCTTTATTGAGCTTCCCTTGAACTTTCTCTGGATCAGCTATAATGTTTCTGATATCTTCTATTAATGCGTGCGTAAACGCGTCTTTACATTGACTTAACATTGAAATCATTCGCGCCAGACGCTCTATTCGCGTTTGGTGTGAACGCAGCATAAGGATATTATGAATAATTAATTACCTTGTCCTTTATTGAGCTTCCCTTGAACCTTCTCTGGATCAGCTATAATGTTTCTGATATCTTCTATTAATGCGTTCAAACTTTGTTTGGCCTCTGTTAGGAGGGGAAAAAAAATAATCTGCCTTAATCATAACAAGATTTGACTCTAGCATTATGTGCTGAAATATTTCTCTTTCTTACCAGCCCATGCCAGATACTCTGCGCAGTCCAGTTTTTTATAACGCCGGGCCGGGGCCACATCAACAGCCTTCCCGGAAACTGATAGCTTGAAAATCAGCGTTGAGCTCAACCAAAGTTTTTAAAGTGTCCAGCTGACCCCACATGGCAGAATCATGCAATGGTGAGTAGCCTACAGCACCAATGAACCATCAACCATTATTTATCATCAGACTGCTTTTCAGTGCAACAGCTTGTAAATTCTGTTACTGTACGTTCATTAGGGCCTAACTCCGGTCCATTAACAGTGAACTACCCTAAGCTGGTTTGCAGGTCTTGGTCAGGCTGGTTTTTAGAAGAGTTTTCGACACTTTTCAAGCTTAGAAATATCTTAACCCTCTGGTGGTCTCCTGACATTTTAGACCAAAAACATGTGGTGAACTTGTCTTGGTATATAGGCCCATGACATTTTCTAATGTATTTTATATAGAAACAAATGGTGCATAATTTAGAGGTGAAAATGCTAACGTTTTCAAGAAACAATATTACTGAAACAAAATGTAGAACACTTATTTTTATTAAAATATGTTAGGCTTATTGTCTTCCGTTTGATTTGACCACCAAGGATAACAAGTGTGACCCAGTAAATCAGCTCAGACCAGCAAACCGCTTTAGTTTTAGTGGTAATTTAGTGTCTTGTTATGCTAAATAACTACACATCTACAACAACTTTTTTCTGTAGGTGTTAAAGTGGGCAAGCTATAGGTATTTTTAATTACAAGTCAGCGCCGTTCCGCACGAGCTCGCGCACTATTCCGCTCTGTACTAGCGCAACGTTGCACGCATCAAACAGCGCATTTCTTCCCACCTCATCATTTTCCCACAAAATATTCTCCGATTGCTGAGTATCGTTGGCGCTCTTGCTTTCCAAAAGACTCTTAAGTCCCTCTACATTATCATCTAAAGAACATAAAAGTACAGTTTTCTCCTCAGTTGACCGCAGTTGCGGAAGAGTGATGTTGTTTCGCTGTCTCTATGGCAACCGGGCAGTCATTTGAGTCATTACTGTCACTGGCCACAAGATGCCGCTGTTGCTTGTTTTATGAAATAAGAAGAGCTGATGATCTGAGCTGTAGAACAGAGATATTACATATTATCTTGTTGATGATAGCTGTTATAGAAAGTAGATTCTCAAAAGAACAAAAGAAGCACTTAGCATTAACCCTTATTTATTGCTGTGGAAATAAAAAGGTGTGAAAATAAATAAATGTAATTATCAAATTAGAAACCAAAAACGATTTTGTTATTCAGCTGCAATCTTAGACAGGAATATTTATGTATGTAGAACTAGCTAACTAATGTTAGATCATTACCCATAAAGATATCATTTAAAAAAATTAAAAGAAAGCCCCTGAAGGGCTCAGATTCCTCCATGGACATTACATTAGGCCTGTCATCTGACATCTAGGAAAAGGAATGACATCGAAAAGAAAGATACTAATCAAGATAACATATGTTTTTGAAGTCATATATTTTGATTCTACGAAATGAAAAGTAAACTCAAATCGACCCTGAAGGGCTCAGATTCCTCCATGGACATTACATTAGGCCTGTCATCTGACATCTAGGAAAAGGAATGACATCGAAAAGAAAGATACTAATCAAGATAACATATGTTTTTGAAGTCATATATTTTGATTCTACGAAATGAAAAGTCTTGAAAAGTAAACTCAAATCGTCGATATATTAGTACAGTATGTGAGTAAATGTACTATCCACTTTATTTAGTATATAGGCAAATATGTTTTTCAATGAGAGGAAGAGGGGAAAAACTTAGGGACATTTCTTGTGGTAAATGTATGTGATATATTTCATTTAAAAAGGGAAAAAGTCTTTTGAAAGCCTTAAAGGTCAGTTCTCTCATGATGACAAGGAATGGAAAGTCAACTGACAGGGAAATTTGTGAGTGCAAATTCACTTTTGTCATCACATAATGTCATTGTACATTCCAAAAAACAGCTAACTTCCTCAATCAAGTGTTAAAATATCATAGTTTTATTATTAGCCTCTCCTGAAAATATAATAATTGCAATTCTGGGTCACCCCAACCCAATATTTGCCTCCATCTTTAGCATCGTTAGACGAAATGACAGGGAATTATTTGGTAGAATTCACTCTATTATACAAAGGAAGCATCACTCACTTTTGGATATTAGTGATATTAGTTGCGTTGCTCAAGGCATGAAACGATCACATTACAGAGAGAGTGTGTGTAATGATGGTGTGTAAAGAATGTGGAATGAATGGATTCGTGTCAAAGGTTCTGACTCATGTCATTGCACTGCTTTCAAGTGTTCACTCCTGACCTGCCCATAACTCCTGATCTGCCATTAGAGTCTATTTGTAGCATGTGTGTGTTCAATGAATGACATGACTATATTTCCAGTTGCTCTATTTTAAGCCAAAGGAGGAAACATTTTATGATCTGGGTCTGTAATTATAGGAAAATTGGGAGCAGGCAAACCAAGGAAGGGGATTGGCAGTATCAAACACGGAGACGTTAATATTACAGTACTTTTCAATTATGCAGATATCTGTGTGCCACGGTGGGATCTAGTGAAATGCTTTTATTTGTCTTTTTAAAAAAAATTTTTATTTAATAATACATTATTTTATGTTTTATTTTAAGTTGCATAATTTTATTGATTGATTGATTGTCTATGACTGATTTTAGTTTTTAATAGTTATCAGAACCAACAAATACTAGTTCAGTAGACAACTTTCACCACCATTTCACACTCTAAGTCCTGAGTTGTGGTGAGACGAATATGCATCTGGCTGTTTTCACCATTTAGAGCTGTTAGCTGTTAGCATCTGTCCTCAGAGCCATTAAAGCCAGTGCAGTCATGCTTCAGTTCTCTCAAACACCAAAACAACATCTGTGTTTGTCCAAGGAGTGCTAATGTGCCTGGGGTTGTCAGAAGCCTCAGAGATTTCACTGATAGGTGCCATAATATAGCAAACACTTGTAGCTAAAATACATTAAGTCTTTGCATTTATGTACGCTGCAGCTGCTTGCATCAACCATCCTTTATCCAGGACTGCTTTTGTAAGTGATAAATGTTTTAATTACATTGACCAGCCTGGTCCCAAGGCTAATCATAGTGGATTGAGAATCAACATGGTCTTGTATTGCTGTGTAAGTCCATTACATCACCTTATAAATCACTGAGTCACTGAGCTCCATTTCTGCCAATCTGCCCAAGAATGTCATTTAGGCTAAAGCTGTTAATAGCGACTGAACGAAAGACCTTTGATCAGGGCTGAAAAACTTTCATTTTGCTTCATCCTAAATAAAGAGCTGAATTTCTGCCCTGTTAATCTACAATAATCTCTTTCTGACGGCATATTCCTTGTACATCCATGTCTGTTTTCCGTTTCTGCCTTGAAATTAGTAATCGGGCTCGGCTTGGCCTGAATTCTCTAAACTGCACTTACAAGTGAATCACGGCGCACTAAAAATAACCCTGTTAGAGGACTGGACTCAGGAAATGAGTAAAAGGCTTTCGGGTCCTGAGAATCCAGGGATGTCCGCCGCTTTACATTGACCCCTCTGCACTGGATTACAGCCTGACGTCTAGGTGACGTCTTCCACTGCAAGAGATCCAAAGAAAAACAGATGTTTCCTTAAGCTGTAAGGCCGATAATGTGATAGTTTCAGTCTTCATGTTTGTTTCTGCTGACTCACGATATTGGATTTCCTCTCATCCTGAAACTTCAGCCACACCTGTTAAAGGAATACAGGTTTAACCACTTTGTATGTTGAGTATTCACATTCTTTAAAGCTTTTTATCATTTTTAGGCCACGATGGAACCAGTTTGACATTTACACTTACCCATATAACTTGCTTTTTGGATTATTGTGGTGTTTGGAATGACATGACTGAGTGCATTGTAGTACTATGCGTGTTGTTTAGGAGTGAGTATTAGGTGTGATTTAAACACATACTAAATTTAATTAAGTCTAACAAGGGCATTTTTGGCTGTTGGTCTGATTGGTGACAACGCGTTGGATGGATGGATGGGTTAGTGGATGATACAATAGATGGACAGTGGATATACAATAAAGTTCAAAATGTTGGGATCGGTAAGATTTATTTGATCAAAAATACAGTAAAAACAGTAATATTGCGAAATATATATTTACAGTTTAAAATAACTAGTTACACTTGAAGAGCAAAAGTATTATAAAGTAAAAAAAAAACAAAAACCTTTTGAACTTTTAAACCGTAGTTTACCCATTAATTACACTGTGTAATCCATTTCTAAGCAACAAATCACAATTTCTAAAAGTAGGATTTGTACATTAAAAATAGACTCTTTTAGTGTATCACATGAGATTTTGATTTGTCATATTCATAACTCAGAGTCATTCCCCGTTGATGCTTTTCAAGAGGGTAGGAAATTCTCTGGGTATGTACCTTTGTATCTTTTGATCATCACTCTGGTTTTGGTGATGCGATGACTTTAGTTACAGTTGTTCACAGTCTGCCTTGGTTGATGTTTTACTAAATGATTTGCATTGTCTTAATCACTTATAATGTGTATTCCTGTAACCAAACAGCAGGCATTCAAGAGTCTACACTGAAAATCTAGGTTTTATTTAAATTGGCGCTAAACAAAGGATTTCTGGATTTTGAACGTTTTTTGAACAAGAAAACTTATGGCATATAGAGAAATATTTAGAAAGTCTGTACTATTTTTCATTTATGTTCTTCGTACAAAAGGTCAGATTTCCTTACTTAGAACATTTAATATTTAACACTAAATGTCTATGAGTGTTACACAAAGTAAAACCATCACATAAAATCATTCTTGAACAGTTAGAACTAGTAGTTGTGGAAGTAGTTGAAAATTGTGGAAGTAGTTGTCACCGGTTATGACTTCTGTCTGCACCCCTCACAAGTTCAAACCATGTGACCTGCTCGATGGAAAAGAAAGTGGTTGGAATAACAGTTCAGCTATTTTAGTCCTGAATGATGATGAGCTCACTTTGCAGTGTGTGTGTTAACCACAAAAGTCAACAGGAAGCTGACATATCAGAAAAAGGCCATGCTGCATAGAAACAATCCAACGCAAGGAAACAACAGTGTACAAAGAGCTCTGATTGTAAAGAGGCTGTAAACAAACATTGTGTGTCACAAACACAGGTGTCTATGTTGAGATACGTTTCCACAGGATGCATCTATAAATGGGTTGTGCGTTCATCTAGCATGGTTGACATACATTAACACTTTTTTCCTGTGAAATCTGAGGTACACCTGCAGTCTCATTCTGAATATTATGCGTTTGCAGATGATCTGAGTTTCTTATTCAGAAACATACAGTTGCTGAAAGTGAATTTTAAGCAGCAGCAATATGATTTTTTTGACCAAATATTGCAGCAAGTGATGACATCAGATACATTTATTTTTTACACAGGCTCATGTTCAAGGTGGTGTTTATGGCAACAACAAGCACAACTACCATTATAATGTTAACACACAAGCAGATTTTGAAAATACAGAAACAGTTTTTCTTGCTTCCTGTTCCCATTGTCTGTCATCAGTGCTGCACTCCAGCTGCAGTGAGCACAGATTCATCAGCTTGATGTCTGTTGGGGGAGGTCCAGTGCCCCACATCTCAAACATATTGCTTCACTGAGCTCTACCAGAAGGGGAGAGAACATTATGGAGTCCGGAGAGCTCTGCATTCTGCCATGTTTTTGTCCTGGCACATTCTGGCACAAGTCTATTATTGCTCATTTCATTTCATTTTAAAATTATGTTTTATTCTGTCTTGTTTTTGATCTGGCACATTTTTTTGGTACTTTTTTGTGTGTGCTTGGTCATGTTTTGTTTTGTTTAGTTTTAAATGGTTACATTTTGCATCTCAAACATGATAGGTATGCATGATGTGCTTTTAACATATTTCTATTATTCCGCACATGAAAAATTAAAAAAGGGTGCTCCCGTAAAATGTCGAATTTTTAAATGTCGAATTAACGGCCTAAAATTTTTATCTTTTTTTTTTTTTTACAAAAAAAAGAAAGAAAGAAAACTTTAAACTTTTTTTCCTCCACTCTTTGCCTCCACTTGCATAACCAAACAACACACTTTAAAAAAGTTGCATAAATATTTAAACTAAAATAAACTTTCTTTCTAATCCAGTGAAGGATTTTGACTGGCACAGAATAACATCCAACCAAATGCTTCAGTTCTGTTCTGTGCAACTTGTTTCTTGTTGTTTAGCAGATGCTTTTTAACCGAAGTGACGCATATGCTGATTGCAGGGACCGTCCCTCTGGAGCAAGAACAGTGATGGAAGGAGGGTATCTTTACAGTTCTTATAGGTTGAATTCTTCTGGATTTGAATATGTAACCTTTACATTGACAGCATAATGAGACTTATCAGACTGCATCAACATTTCAATCAGGAAACACGTCAAAAATGAATTGTTGCAGTGACCTTGAACAGTGTTTTGTCCTTTAAGGTCATGCATAACCCATTTTACATCAGCTTTCATCGACGATCCAGTGAGTGAATATAGGAACGGCTTTGGGTATTTATACAAAAGCAGAACTTAGGACAAATGAGTGCCATTGATTGCCGTCAGCAATGTTAGTTCTGCATGATTCTCTGTTCTATTGTGTTCGGCTAAGTTCTGCTGCACTTGACGTGCATTGTAATTATACCCTGCAAAGAAAAGCACCCAACAAACTTGCCTTTGTCACCAAGTTTTAACACTTCTGCAGAATTTCTACAGTTCTACAGAATGAAGCATATGTAATCAGTTTGCACAGTTGCACCTCTTCTTGCCCTTGTGCATGCTGGTTATGAAACGGTGAGGTCTGCTCACATTGTGGTAAATGGTGAGTATTTAATTAGAACTAGAGAACGTTGTTTACTGAGCAGCTTATTATGTGTGAGCTGGTGCCTGTGCAAGAGGGTTTTTGTGGTTATGCTAATCTACCTTCTGTTTCTTTCTGTTTTATTTGCACTATGCAGCTGCATCTTTCTTTCATTTTAGCGTGAAAGTCATCCTGGGTCAGGTGGAAAACACTTTTTGGCCAAGAGATGATTCAAAGAACATTCCCGGCGTCAAGGATAATATAATTTCTAATATATATAAATGGTGAAATAAAACCGTAATGCTTTCATAATGTAGGTTTTGACTTTATCTGTTCACACTTAATACACATAATGTGGTCATTCAGAAACCAATCAAACTTTACCAGATATAAATAGATATGGGTATTCATAAGCAATCTGTAACAGTTGGACTTCCTTTAAACATAACAGCTGGAACTTCCTGTTTGTGTATGTATATGCAGATGGCTAGGCCCACACAGAATCTACTTCTGCAAAACTTCACACAGGTTTCTGTAAAATTGGGCCTTCTGTGAGTTCTAACATGATCAAATCCCATCCCTTTTGTGTTTATTAAATATTTTCCTAATTTGATTATCTTTTCAGATACTAACAATAGTGCTCTGATTTTCAAATAACATATTTTATTATGTCCATTAAATCCATTGTGCAGAATTTTGTAGATTTTTCATCAACATTTGTGCAAAAATTCTATTTAAAAAAAGCCAGTAAATTCTGTCTGGGCCTAGCAATGACACATGACAATGCCATTACATGAAAAAAAAAAAAAAAAAAAAAAAAAAAAAAAAATTGAATTAAATTAAATTACATATTCTCTGTTGCTTATTTAACTTATAGTTCTATAGTGTAGAGCTCTAAATGTAAGCAATTATATGAATGAAAAACTCAACTCAGTCACAGCACTTTTTAAAGACACAACATACTGAACATTTGCCTCTAGGGTACGATAACAAGCTCAATATACTCTCAGATACTGAAGAAAGTCTTCCTCTCCATTTGGGAGTTTGTGAGTTGCTCTAGCTTTCAGGTTAGAGTTCCTAATGTGTTTTTGTCCTGCTGAGTTGAGGACATACAGCTGTTTTTTTTATGTAGCTTGATGGGCAGTAGCAGCTCTGCTGCCTGGGTGGCTGATTATCTGGGTGGCAGGCAGCAAGCCATTTAAACTTGTGCTTGTCCTCATTGTGGTTGTCCTATATTCTCTCTTTTTGGAGTTTTTCTACAGTATCTCAGTTTGGTTGATGGTTCTTAATGTGTTAAAATGTGTTTATAGGGTTAAGTGTTTTACAAAATTTCTTCCTTCACTAAAATTCTTTATTTTGTGCAAATGTTGTGGCATAATCACTTTAATTGATGATCATGTTGATATGTAGAGATTAATTAATTTTAATTAATAAAATGTATTACTAACAAAACTGAGTGTTCCAGTCTAAAACCTCAAAATATGTCAGCTGTGGTCTGCTTGTTTTGTTGACTTGCTCTACACAGAGGTACCTGCTCCAGTACTCAGAAGAAAAAAAAATAGATTACATAAATGTGGCATAAATCTCTTGAGAAATGTCACAGTTATGTTGGCATGAACGAAACAGCCACTTGACTCAGTTAGGTCAGACTTGTTTTCAGTTTTTTCACATTCACACCTTTCTTGTGCATGTTTTCAACGGCAGTCGCAACAACAACAATCAGACACCACAAGAGGAGTGTCATGTGTGGTTTTAAGGTCGAGAGAATGAAATCGACACATTTTGATGTACGTCATAGTGGTGCAATAAGTTGTTATTCTTTGTCAAGTCTGAAATTGTCAAAAATTCAAATGAAGGAGGTCTGTAGACATTTTGTTATGGTTACAGAGGAACCAACCTCACAAACATGTCTGAATTTCCCAAAAAAATTAAAAGTAACTTACTGAATGACATTTTGCCTTGGTTTAGTTGTGCTCAGCAACCAGAAGTAAAAATAAACTAGAGCTTAGCTCCAGATAAGTATTTGAGTAAAATAATAGCAGATGGCAACATTGCACTGTAACCATAACAAAGTGGCAAAAGCACACAAGAACATTGTCCTAATCAGAACAATCAGTGTCATAGATCATCACTGTCACTGCTGTCTGTGCAATTATGCATCATGCAGTATCAGAACACTTTTGGCAAGATGGAATGATAAGTCACAAAAGAGTTTAAAGGAATAGTTCACATTTATGCTAAATGGGGACTGAAACACTATATTTCAGTTTTGCCAACTGAATCAACTGATTCATTGAAACGATCTGACTAGATCTAGAACGAACTAGAACTTCAGATTTTCAGTGCATAGTGACTTAAAGGAATATTTCACCCAAAAATGAAAAGTTTTTGAAGATTTGAAGAAATTTAGCATTAAGTCACTTGCTCACTGATGGATCCTCTTCAGAATGAGTGTCCAAACAGCTGATAAAGACATCACAATAATTTGCGACACGACTCCATCAATTAATGTTAAAAAGTGAAAAGTGTTTGTAATAAACAAATCCATCATTAAGACATTTTTAACTTTAAACCTTTGATTCTGGCTAAAATATGAGTCCTCTATCCATAAATGACGGACTGGAGTCATGTTGTGGATTATTGTGATGTTTTTTAATAGCTGTTTGGACTCTCGTTCTGACGGCACCCATTCATTGCAGAGGATCCATTGGTGAGCAAGTGAAAAAAATCCTTTACAATTTTCAGCAAATTTCTAAAAAAGTCATACAGGTTTTGGGTGGACTGTCCCTTTAACTGGAGCCTATTTGATGTGCAAATTATGAGTGCATGCTTGAATGTTTTTTTAATTTCATCCAAAACTTACTGAACTATGTTTTCTCTATTTGTGTAAGGTGAATCAAGGCTCTAATGATAGAGATGAAAGGGACCTGATGAAAGTAAATGTGTACAGTATCTTTTTAAATACATATTTTATCGGTTCACATGTTTGCTGTCTTATCAGTGTCAGTGGAGCCCCGAAACCTTGTAAATGCTCAAAGCCAAATAACTTTTACCACACCTTGTCAAAGTCTGCATCTCACAGACATAAACAAGTGCCGATTATTACTCACACAATACAGTGCAGTAAATTGCACATGGATACAGTAAACAGAAACTCCTTTCAGGTACAGTAAAGATAAAGCTGCTATTTATAATGTATGCGTATGTATCTATGTTTGTGTGCACACTGCATGTGTGAACAAGACATGAACTCGATGGTAGTCAGATCTTCTTTGTTTCCAAGGCAACAGCAAGCGCCATACCACCCACACAAGCTAGACAATGATTCCAGAACGGGGTTTCCTCTCAAACCTTGCCTTTGTAGAGCCCGAGCTGATCTTGTCTGTGACAGCAGCCGCTTGTGCGTCACGGCAAGTGTTCTCCTGGTGTTTCACAAACGCCCACAACTCCCTGAGCTCTTTCCCTTCCCTTCTCTTCTCACGGCTCACGGCTATGAACGAGAGACTTCTCCTCACCTTAAAGAGTCACTTCCGGCTATCAACCAGACAGATCGCAAACAGCCTTGGGCACAGTAACATGCACTGTTTATACTGTGTGATCTCAGAAATGACTAATTGCTCACAAATTTGTGAGACTACCATTGTTTATAGTATGTTAACAACACTCAAATTCTCATTCGTATTAATGTCTACTTATAAGTGAACGAATGTAATTATCTACCGGATTGACCTCCCTTGTGTTCTTTGACTCTTATACCACTGATGCATCAGGTAGAAATTACATCTCCTTGTGCTGTGTGTGCTGCCTCTCAGAGAAAAATTGTCATATTTTGTTACCTCCAGTGAAAGTTCACACTAAGCTTCCTTAGACCAAAATTAGTGTTATGGATTTATGGAGCTCAGAGAGATTCTTCTCAATTGAGTCTTTGTGTTGTATGCCTCTAAATAATTGAGTTTAACCCCCTTCTATTTTCAGCTTTGTCTAGTGCACAAATCAGTTTATGTAATGTAAGTTTAGAAATAGGTCTGGGATGAGGAAATTGGAGTAATAATCTAAGGCATGATCTGGATCTTTTGACTAATGCCTTGGCCGTATATCAAGGTTCACAATTCACTTCAGAATTGGCCTGAAAATTCTTCTTTTGTGTGTGTGAATAGCTGTCTGTCTGTTTGTCTATCAGTCTGTCTAGGCATTCATCCCGCTATCCATATGTCTGTCTGTCATCCAGTATATACATATAATGGTTGTGAAAATCTCTGTTTGTCTGTCTGTTGATCGATCAATCAATCTGTCTGTCTGTCTGAAATGTCTACTTTTGTGTGTAAATATCTGTCTGTCTGCCATCCATATGTCTGTCTGCCATCTAATATATAAATAGATATATTATGGTTTTATAATACCAGATACCATCCATCCATTCATCTGTATGTCTGTCTGCCATCCATCTAATATACAGTATATCTATCTATCTATCTCTCTGTCTCTCTGTCTGTCTGTCTGTCTGTCGTATTATAAAAAATACTATATACTACATTTTATATATAACACTATATAACAAACAAGTGCACTAACAAAGAGAATGGCATTCTTCTCTTTCAGCCTAATGAAATAAAGAGACATCCCTCCCCCCTGCACCTACGGGAGGTCAGTGACAGATGGGGGCAACTCTGAACTGGCTTCACAGACAGCTGCCAGGGTTTGGGGGTGAGATGTTAAAGGTCAGCTCTTTTAGACTGCAGATCCCTACATTGCACACACTGATGGTCTGACAGTCAGACTTGCTGCAGACCCACTGTCAAAGTAGATTAAAACTGTCCCAAAGAGAATTTTACTTTGCTTTTGATCTGACGTGGGGGGTGTCGCTTCAGCTGCTGTCCTCATAAATCATGTTGCATGTGGGATTCAGGTATGAGTATGAATGGGGAAGTTGGGGAACATATGAGTGTGTTTGTTTGAGGTGGGTGAAGGGGATGTTGTGCTAACTGACTAGGCTTTTCCAAGAGATACTCTAACAAGTTTTTCCTCTTTGCTGCAGCATTAGAACATGTCTGTACACAATGTGAGCACAGTCTGTCACTGCTGCTCTGCCAGTAAAGGATATCCTTCCTGTGGATGTGAGGGGGTGTTTCCAGAATGCATCTACACAAAGTATTTAAGTATGAGCTAAAAGTGAAAACATCAGTGACAGAATCTGACATGGCCACAGACATGGAAATGCACTTTTGATTTATTAGTTTGACGCCTTCTTCACAGTGTATCATAAACTTGCTAAGGAACACCCAGTGGCATTTCCAATAAATAAATGACTAAAGATATAGAAGAGCCGTTCATTTTGCTGCTTCAAATCAAGCACTGTGTAAAAAAACAAAAAAAAAACAATGCCAAGTGCTCAACTGAAATCGTTTGGGCCAAATGTAAAAAAATAGCACAGGTCAAACCACAACTTCCTCCAGGCTAAAACTCAATTCTCTGGTCTGCTGAAGTAATCATTTTAAACTAGGTTGTGGCCAATCATTTTACAGGTGTGGGAGGGAAATGGAAGACAGAGAAAGAGAAAAAGATATATTGAGGCGCTTTAGTGGAAAATTATGCACTACAGAGATTGGCAACCTTTTTGACATGAGGTGCCTTGTTTATGAATGTTAATTAATTTTCTAAAAGAAACAATAAAATAAAAATGTAATAAAAATTTACATCATTTATTAAAATATAAATGTAATAAATTATGTACTGTATATTCATTACAATTTTAAAGTTGTTTTTTAACAATGTCAAGACACACACACATACACACACACACACACACAGACATATATGTATACATACAACCATACATACATATATAGGCCTATAGTATACAAATTTTACATTAAAATATAAATGTAATAAATTATGCACATTCATAATTTATAGCAATATGCTGCAATTTTAAAGTTTTTTTTTTAACAGGTTAAATTCGTACATAACATCAAGACACACACACACAGGTGTGTGTTTTGCTCCTCATGTGCCTTTCTGTGTTTCCTTATTTGGTCATTTTCCTGTCCTTTTTTATTTTAATTATGATTCCGTTCAGATGTGTTCTATTAATTACCCTTGTATTTAAGTTCCTGCCTGTTCAGTTTCCCTTTTGTCTGGTCTACTCATTACGTGGATGTGTTTCCTACTGTCTCCAGTGTTGATATACCCTGTGTCTCATGGATTAAAGACTGTTTATGTATATTCCTCGTCTCCTCGCTCCTTAGTTCCTGTTATCCTCATGTGTGTGTGTGTGTGTGTATATATATATATATATATATATACACACACAAATTTTACATTTTCTGTGATTTTTTTTTTTTGGAACCAAAAAGCTTTACATAACATTGCAAAACATTTAATTGTTGATCTATTTCATATTAATTTTAAATAACGGTTGCATTTTGAGCACTGGATAAATAAACTTTGATTTGACCTTTAAGTTTCTATTGTGTTGAATGTTATACTTATCTTATGTAATTTTTTTTTTTTTCATTTTTAAGTGGTGTCTTGGTAAACTAGTCATTATTTGACATTATGAGAAAAGTTTTCGGGGCATATTACATGTTCTCTCTCAAAATCACACTAAGAAAAAGCCCTCTGGAAAGCAGAAACAGACTTCAATGCTCTGCCGTCTTGTTACATGCGTAAAACCAGGTTCAGCTTCTAATGAAAGGGCAAAGGATTTGTTACTGGTTGGGCCTGTATCAGGTGTTCACTGCAGTTGTGCTTTTAAAAATGTGCTGATCCCTCTGGCTATATTACAAATGCTTGCATGAACACATAAGAACAGAAAAAACACCACGATAGCATTCCTTTAAGGGGTAACCAAGGCAATGCAATGACAGGTGTACAGACACATACACACTCCATTTCATTAAGTGAAAAGCTAAAAGGGCTGTTTGGGGCCTCTGGTCTGTGCTATATGCCCAGAGTGACAGACGTGCAGACTCCCCTATTGTGTGCTCAATACCGTTGGGCCTCTTTCTCTCTACCGCCAGAGGCTGCGGCGGTGGGGGCTGCTACCAGGGTCGCGTGCCCCACTTTCACAGGAGCAGATGGGGGATGAACCCCTCTTGCTGCTCCGAACCTCCGGACAGAGGGTGTCTACCCCACCTGTCAAGACCACACAAAAGCCAGACCGCTACGTCACAAAGCCCAAGATGAGTCTGCAGACTGCTGGACCCAAATCCGCTTTTCACGAAGCACCTAGCGTGTAAACACGGAACATACTGATATTTAAAACGGGTCTTGTAGGGGGTCACATGAATACTAACAACACACATCTGCCATTGATTCTTCTCGTTCTCCTTCTATCTTTTCCAAAACGAAGAAATATTTGGGAAACATAAATGCAATTCTATTGCCAAATGCTGGGATAATTTCAATCCCAAAATAAATGTAAAACAACAATGAACAAAAGATGTGGTATGTGGTATAAAACAAAAGAAGACAAAAAATGTGGTTAACATATTTCATGCCATTATTTTATAAAATACCACATTTTCATAATGTGTATCTTTAATTATTGTTGTATGAACACCGAGCCAGAAGCTACAATAATTTAAGTGCTGATCATCACACGCCTTTAGAACAACAAAACACAATGTCACAAATTAACAACTGATTCATAAGTGTTTGTGATTCACTAAAAAGGACTGTTCATAAGAGTCTTTTATGCTGGAATCAGACTTCTCTGGTCACCCTGTATGTTTTCGATTCACTAAAAAGACGCAGCTTGTAAGAGTCATTGCTTGGGAATTATAAATCTCTTGCCACGCTGTCTGTTTTTGATTCACTAAAAAGAACTGATTCATAAAAGTCAAATCGCTCATGAATCAGACATCTCTGGTAGCACTGTGTATTTTTGATTTACTAAAAAGAACCGGCTCATATGAATCATTCACTTGAGCATCAGACTTCTCTGGTCACAGTGTATTTTTATTATTATTATTTTTTTATTAACTCAAAAGATCCAGCTGACATACTCATTATTGTATTGTATTAAGTGTTCCAATCATGTCCATAGAAATGAGGACGATAAAATGAATCAAACGTAATGAAAATGTTAAAAAAAAAAAGTTATCAACACTAGTTCTGAAGTAAAACAAATAGCTTCTTATGCTACATTTCCACCCGTTTTTGACAGTTTGATAGAACATGAAAATGTACTTAAAGCTGGATTGTTGCCTGTGGAAATCTTTACAGCTTGGATTTGTACTCATAAGTGATCTAAGCTGCTAAAAGGCTGTATGACTTGAATCATCATCATCAACCCTTAATTTTTAAAACAATACGTTTGTACTTATTTCACCTATAACCTACTTGCCCTCTCTTTCTGTTGTGTACATTGATTTTGTTGTCCAATTAAAATGATATGTGCTCTAGAGCTAAAGCAAGCAGTTTATTTCTAAGTATGTTTATTATGTAAACTTTGAAAATGACTCTATAATCAGTACATAACAAGCACTTACTTAACAATTACTGGTGCATTGACTGTAGGTGAATGCAAGGGTGAATGCATGTATTGCATAATGGGGCATTTGTCTGATGTGATTATGAATGGAGCGCACGTCTACAGTGAGATGACATCATTGTGCTGTGTCACAGCACTGTCTGAGTGAGTTTGCCCCTCTCCATCTGTGTGTGGGCTGCAGCATATTCATGGAGTCTCTGTCCCTGTCTCTGCCAGTCATAGTCTGAGCCCTGCAATTATATGTGCTCTCTCTCTCTCTCTCTGCTTCTCGAATTTTCCATGCGCACATCTCTCCTCTCCCTCTCCTCAGATCCTCTCCTTGTGAAGCAATGCTAATTGCTCTGATGAGGGTGCTTCGTGTTGATTCCTGATTTCTGCACCTGCTGCTGGATGTTTTAAGGGTTATTTTAGCATAGTTTCCTCATTCACCAAGTGAGACGAGGAATTCAGCAAGGACCTGCAACAATCTCACTCTGTCCTCAATGCATATTTGATGTTGAAGTGATAGTTCACCCACAAAGGAAAATTCTGTCAGTGTTTATTCACGCTCATGTCGTTCCAAACCTGTATGACTTTTTTCTTACTTTCTAAACCAATATAATGCAAGCACTGTTGACCTCCAAAATGACAAAAGCAAATGCAAAAGCTTTGTGTGAGACAAACTGAATTTTGATTCGTTATTTACAGTACTAAAGGTCTTGACATCTGCTCTAACTAGTCTAGTAATGTCTGATTAGTAAACAAATCAGTCTTTTGAATCAGATCAGTTCAATAAATCGGTTGATTCAGTTCACAAGCCGAAGATTTGTTTGTGAATCAGACTGATTTAGTTCTCCAGTTGAACTCACAGAGTGACTGTGATTAACAATATCCAGAAAATATCAGTATTATCAGTAAAGTTTAGTCTGTACATCTCAAAGTTATCAAATGGCTTCAGAGCTTTTTTTTTTTTTGAGTCTTATAGATTACTTTGAGTCTTATATATTACTTTTGTCAATCTTTTATGCAAAACTGCTCATAATAGTGATTCGCTCAGAAATCAGACATCTCTGGTCAGGATGTGTGTTTTTGATTCAATACAAAGCAAAAAATAAATAAATAAAACAATAAACTCATGAATCAAACATCTGTGGTTGCGCTGTATGTTTTTGATTCAATAAAAAGCTCATGAATCAGTTGGGTTCAGTTCAATGAATCAATAAAAACTTCAGTCAATTGTCATTGCAATGCACTGAAAAGAGATACCAGCACATTATTAGAAATTTCTTCACATAAAAATGAATAT